AAAAAAAAAAATTTTGGGGTTAGGTGCACTTTAATTTGAACAGTAACAATGAAGAAAACAAGCAACATACCTTCTCTTTGCTTAGCTGAGTTGGGAAGTAAATGGAAACTAAAAGCAATTCACTTCTATCAACGGCTAATGGAAAGCAAATGTCTCGTGCACAGTTCTTTCAAACCTCTCATATTAAGAATATTGTTTATTTTTCCGTACTGAGTAAGGAGCTCCTCTGGAGTCCCTATATTTTGTAAGGCAGAATGATAAATACCTACTCCAGCGCCAATTAAAGTATTTTTCAGAACTAGTTGACTGGGGCGAAGCAAATTGTAATCATTAACTGTAATTTATTTCTCTAACTCATTAATAAGTTAAAAGTTAAAACAAAGAATACACGGTCTTAATTCGCATAGATTTTGACGATTATACTTCTCCCTTTACTCCTTAGTTTTTGTTTCGATTGAGAAAATACATCAAACACTCGAGACAGGGTTTCATCGGCTATCCAAACACCTCGAATTTTGTCAAAAATATACTCCGCTGCGCGTCGTATTGTCAACTCTCTTCTCGGTGGTTGGTTATCCCGATGAAACACTGTCTCCCGTTTGATATATTACTTCTAGAACAGCCTCTTCCGTTTCGTTTACATTCTGCTTAAATCATGACAGCACTTTTGCTCTTTTCTATTGCCGCTTGCATTACACTTTTAGCAGCTATGTTAATGAATTTGTTTTGTAAAAATAATCCATTGCCAACTCAGTACTATATTTTTAAGGACAAGTAAACATTTTTAATTCCGACAATTCTTGGTGAATGCTCTGTGCAATAAATCAATATGGCGCTAACGATGCAATATTGCTTGCCTTCGCAAAGTGATCTGTGTTTACCAATTGAGTTTACATTTAACAGATCTACAAAAATTAGCCAAGGAAGTTAAGTAAACATTTTAAATTAAAATTGTTAATGATGCTTTTACCAAGTGACGCACCAGAAAATCGTTTGCATTTGAAATAAAATTCTCAAAACAAAGCTCAAAACGAATCGAGAGAGGGTTCTGTTTAGTCCTACTGGTTATTTTATATCTTCCTTCATTCTAGGCAAATTTTTCATTTAATGGTTTATTTGCACTTCCATTAAGGTATTTCTATATTACAGTATTGCTATTAATGTAGGTGGCTCAGCTAAGCTAATAAATTATTTTAAACTCAAGGACGTCCAAATGAGCAGGCCGGTAAAAAATATATATTGCAAGGAATAATGTAATTTATTGTTGAGGGCTGTAGATTCTCACATTTCAGGTTGGTGTTTGTATTGGAAGTTTCTAAGTAAAGCGGCTTTACATTTTGTCTCAATATATACTCCGCCAAAACGTTTGTCACAGTGTTTATATAACCACGGCTCAATGGCAATCAAATGTTCTCCATAAACGTTTCTTGCGACAAATGAGTTTATTTACGGGAACAAAAAAGCTCTTATCTTAATTTTACAATGTCTCGTCCGTTGTTTACACAGAAAGAAAAACACTCATTATTTTTGTAAGCTAAATCAGTACGAGTTGTCCACATTGTATACTTTCTTGAGAAAGAAAGTATACAGTGAAGCATTTCGGAGAGACTTAAAATAAATAACTTATTGTGCTTTAACTTTTGCAAACTAAACATGTTAAAAACTTGAAACATTCTCTTTATTTAAGAAAAAATAAACAATTCTATCTGTTTCAACTTGTAAAACCTAAACAAACAAAAAAGAAACATTTCTCACAAAAAAATATAGAGGGCAACAGATTGCAGAACAGTGCTCAATTTTACTGGTTCTTCAACGAAAGTAGAACTGCGTATCCGCGTTCCCTTTCGGCAAAACTGTGCTTCAAAATGCGTTCTTTACCTCTCTTGCTCATTCTTGCTGCTATATTTGTCCTTTGTTCAGCGAGGCCTCAACAGTCTAATTCTGCGCCACGAGCCAGGCGCTCATGTAAGTAAAGGTTTTTATTGGTCATCGAAGTCATCGAAGTATTTATTGCCGTCTGAAACAACTCCTTTTGATATATATATATATATATATATATATATATATATATATATATATATATATATATATATATATATATATAAAACAGGTATTGCCGCGTTCTTAGATCGAGTTATCTACCACAAAGCACAAAAGTTTTTAGGAAAGTGTCTTGCTTTAATACGTTTCAAAAATCTTACTGACCTGTTTTCCCAAGGATAAAAATTAGCACAAGAAAGTTAATTAATGGTTGGGAAAAACGACGGAATAGCAGTAAAAACAGGACAACCCCAATGAGACCTACCTGCACACAAGTTCTAGAGTTTTGGGGGAATTGAAACTTTGCATCGTTCTATTTGACTAAAACTAGAATCCGAGTGTTCGAACTGAAGTATTTAACGTTGTTAACATAAGAGAACCAGAGATCACTTTTGACTGAATAAACTTTGGTGCCTTATCATTACCCTCGACAGCGTGCGTTGACTGGTATCAGAGCTACTGCGCTTATTGGCGAAACTTGGGATACTGCCAGCCTAACAGCTATTACTACAGTTCAATGAAGTACTACTGCAAGAACACATGTGGACTCTGTGGGGGTAAGCTAGTTGTTATACACATTACCTGCCCCTCGGGAACTGCCTATCGTTGATCCAAAATGTAACGCCTTCTTTAACCTAAAATATCTACCACTGATGCCACATATATAGCCACCCGAAATAAAAAAAATCAAATATGAACGGAAAACATCGCAAACTTTGAGAGAAAAAAATTCTCCAGTCCTTGGTTAAGAATTTTAAAATAATAAAAAGTGCAAAAAATTGAAAGGTTTTTTCTAAACGTCCCGGTCCTTAGCTCAGTTTCTTCAGTAGAATGTGTCTCTGTTTAGACGATCAATATCCATAGCATATCCAGTAACAAAATCGCCAGCTTGTGACGACGGACTTATTCCCCTCCTGGAGAACATTGATGATTTCATTCCGAATCTGAAATTTCCTTCCCTCTTCATACTCCTCCATACAATGATTGATTCTTCTGCGCAACCCCTGGTTTTACAGAAAAAGTATTAAAATACTACACTCCGCCGGAGAAATTTGAAAACGCAGCTTTATCTCTACGGTTAGGCCTACCGTGCACACTGATGCGTCACGAAAACTGAGCTTTCCGAAAACGTTCTTCAAACCGGAGGAATTTAAAAACGCCGGCTTTGCGTTTTGGTGTAGACAGAAAACATTTAGAAAACGGAGCCTTTCGAAAACGATAACATCAAATATTCATGTGATTTCCCTGCCGATTTTTCCTCAAACACAAATCCAAAATTACTCCGGCGTAGTGTGGACGAAGAACATTTGATGCGTTTTCAGAGTGAAAACGCCGTTTTCAAATTTCTCCAGCGAAGTGTGGACAGGGCTTAACAATCCGAATCTAGCAATGAAGAAACAAAATCAATCATACGATAACCGTGGAAACAATTCAAAATTAATTAGCTAGGGGATAATTTGAGTATACTTTTAAAGTGTCAAATGGCGCCTAAAATCATGTATGTACAACATACCATAAAGAAAGAGCGACAATTTCTTCAGTTTTCCTAAATACCTCAATCAAAATTTGCGTTCTTATTTGTCTCCATTTTTGTTTTTAGATCCCAGTTCCAGTTGTACAGACCATTCCTATTATGCCGGCTATTATTGCAACTATTGGAAAAGCGTGGGTTATTGCCAAAAAGGAAACTATTACTATGCCTCTATGAAGGTGTACTGTCCGGCTACATGTGGCATGTGTGGGGATGGTACGTAATGCACATCTCAGTACATTCAGTTCTAAGAGTGAACTACTTTAAAACGATTAATCCGGTAAAAATGTTCGACTAAAAAGAAGCAGAACCCCGCCTCACGACCATCCCTTCTTTCGGCGCGAGCTAAGCCTCCGTGAATCATTTTCGTTTTTTGAGAACTACTTTGTTATGACGGACCTAACTTCCTGAGATACGACCACGGAAGTTTTCGCGTTCTTATGGTAGTCAGACTGTAAGGGTGTTCCTGAATTGTACAGCTAAACTCCATTCCGTCAGGTATTTTCTGCTAGGAGCTAAATGACCTCTCATGTAAACTGCAGGTAAAATCACCAACAGATCTTCATTGAACGTACGTACAAGAATATTCAAACAAGTGTTGTGGGATTTCATGAACCTTTACAGCTGCGCGTAGCACAGTTTGTTCACAGATTAAAACACTGTTATTGTCAGCTGCTAAATAGAATGATTTCGAACTAATGCGTATGATATCTCATTTCTTCAGAGCCATCTCTGAGAGCATACTTTGGTTCGTAACATAGTTATTTTACGCGAGATTTTTATTTCTTCTCCTTCTTTAGCAACGCGCATAGCCATAGTTTAATTTACAGTTTGATGGCCTGGTTATTTGCAAAAGTCATAAGCAATTGCCAGGAGAACAATGGATTAAAACAGTACGCGTCAACGTGTGATTATTTGTTTTGTTTTCGTCTCCTTTTTCATTAGCTTGCCCAGCGGATAAAGTGAGAGACTGTCCCTACTGGAAAGGCCTTGGTTATTGCAGCTCAAACAGTCAATACTACCAGTATATGTTAATGAACTGCCAGACAACATGCGACTTTTGTGTCCGTAAGTAAACTTTGAAGCAACAAAAAATACCATTACAGGACAACTACAGGAGCCCATGACAATGCCATGAGATTTGTGAACAATGTTTGAAATTAACAAAACAATATCTGAGACAGGCCATGTCGTATTATAGAGATGGTTTAATGCAAATTAAAAAAAAGATGGATGGCACAAAAAATTGCATTAATAGGAAATTAAATGACTATGTAGGAGTCATTTGAACAAATGTACAGACTATCACCAGTACAAATTATATGTACAGACTATGAAATGTACAGACCATCACCAGCACTCTCGAATGAGCTACGTCAATTTTTAAAAACAGGACAATTTCAATAATAACTTATTATTTCCGAAGAAGAATAGGGCATTACGATTGGTCGAGATGCTTATAACCCCCTATCAAGTTTCCCGCGCTGGCGCTGAATATATTTATACTAGTTATGCAACACTTTCTCGAGGTAAATAACGTATACCATGGAATATCCCACGAGTAATTTGTATTTTCTCGGTATAGAGTTCCAGTTTCAGTTTTTATTATTGCACACTGTTACACACGAGCCTTTAGGCGAGTTGTCACACGTCATTTCAAGAAAATATAAGTGACAAGGGGAATATGCTATAGTATACCACGAGAGGCCGTTTCATAACTATTTCACACCATGCTGTTAGTATCACTGGTGACAAGTTAGCGAAATGAGCCCAAATAATTCAAGCATTACCAGATTCTATTTCAATTAGGGTATATTAGCAATCAGACAATATGGATACTACACAGGTTGCCATAAGTATGGAAATGACATTTTACGCTTTTCTTTAGAACCAACAACGGCAAAACCTGTGACCACTAATCCAAGCACGACTTCCAAACCATCACCAACAACTACCAGCGCACCGGGAACAACATCTAACCCTTCAACCACAGCTGCACCAGATACCACGTCTAACCCTTCAACCACAGCTGCACCAGGTACCACATCTAACCCTTCAACTACAGCTGCACCAGGTACCACATCTAACCCTTCAACCACAGCTGCACCAGGTACCACGTCTAACCCTTCAACTACAGGTGCACCAGGTACCACATCTAACCCTTCAACTACAGGTGCACCAGGTACCACATCTAACCCTTCAACCACAGCTGCTCCAGGTACCACATCTAACCCTTCAACTACAGGTGCACCAGGTACCACATCTAACCCTTCAACCACAGCTGCTCCAGGTACCACATCTAACCCTTCAACCACAGGTGTACCAGGTACCACGTCTAACCCTTCAACTACAGGTGTACCAGGTACCACATCTAACCCTTCAACCACAGCTGCTCCAGGTACCACATCTAACCCTTCAACCACAGGTGTACCAGGTACCACGTCTAACCCTTCAACTACAGGTGTACCAGGTACCACATCTAACCCTTCAACCACAGCTGCTCCAGGTACCACATCTAACCCTTCAACCACAGGTGTACCAGGTACCACGTCTAACCCTTCAACTACAGGTGTACCAGGTACCACATCTAACCCTTCAACCACAGCTGCTCCAGGTACCACATCTAACCCTTCAACCACAGGTGTACCAGGTACCACGTCTAACCCTTCAACTACAGGTGTACCAGGTACCACATCTAACCCTTCAACCACAGCTGCTCCAGGTACCACATCTAACCCTTCAACCACAGGTGTACCAGGTACCACGTCTAACCCTTCAACTACAGGTGTACCAGGTACCACATCTAACCCTTCAACCACAGCTGCTCCAGGTACCACATCTAACCCTTCAACCACAGGTGTACCAGGTACCACGTCTAACCCTTCAACTACAGGTGTACCAGGTACCACATCTAACCCTTCAACCACAGCTGCTCCAGGTACCACATCTAACCCTTCAACCACAGGTGTACCAGGTACCACGTCTAACCCTTCAACTACAGGTGTACCAGGTACCACATCTAACCCTTCAACCACAGCTGCTCCAGGTACCACATCTAACCCTTCAACCACAGGTGTACCAGGTACCACGTCTAACCCTTCAACTACAGGTGTACCAGGTACCACATCTAACCCTTCAACCACAGCTGCTCCAGGTACCACATCTAACCCTTCAACCACAGGTGTACCAGGTACCACGTCTAACCCTTCAACTACAGGTGTACCAGGTACCACATCTAACCCTTCAACCACAGCTGCTCCAGGTACCACATCTAACCCTTCAACCACAGGTGTACCAGGTACCACGTCTAACCCTTCAACTACAGGTGTACCAGGTACCACATCTAACCCTTCAACCACAGCTGCTCCAGGTACCACATCTAACCCTTCAACCACAGGTGTACCAGGTACCACGTCTAACCCTTCAACTACAGGTGTACCAGGTACCACATCTAACCCTTCAACCACAGCTGCTCCAGGTACCACATCTAACCCTTCAACCACAGGTGTACCAGGTACCACGTCTAACCCTTCAACTACAGGTGTACCAGGTACCACATCTAACCCTTCAACCACAGCTGCTCCAGGTACCACATCTAACCCTTCAACCACAGGTGTACCAGGTACCACGTCTAACCCTTCAACTACAGGTGTACCAGGTACCACATCTAACCCTTCAACCACAGCTGCTCCAGGTACCACATCTAACCCTTCAACCACAGGTGTACCAGGTACCACGTCTAACCCTTCAACTACAGGTGTACCAGGTACCACATCTAACCCTTCAACCACAGCTGCTCCAGGTACCACATCTAACCCTTCAACCACAGGTGTACCAGGTACCACGTCTAACCCTTCAACTACAGGTGTACCAGGTACCACATCTAACCCTTCAACCACAGCTGCTCCAGGTACCACATCTAACCCTTCAACCACAGGTGTACCAGGTACCACGTCTAACCCTTCAACTACAGGTGTACCAGGTACCACATCTAACCCTTCAACCACAGCTGCTCCAGGTACCACATCTAACCCTTCAACCACAGGTGTACCAGGTACCACGTCTAACCCTTCAACTACAGGTGTACCAGGTACCACATCTAACCCTTCAACCACAGCTGCTCCAGGTACCACATCTAACCCTTCAACCACAGGTGTACCAGGTACCACGTCTAACCCTTCAACTACAGGTGTACCAGGTACCACATCTAACCCTTCAACCACAGCTGCTCCAGGTACCACATCTAACCCTTCAACCACAGGTGTACCAGGTACCACGTCTAACCCTTCAACTACAGGTGTACCAGGTACCACATCTAACCCTTCAACCACAGCTGCTCCAGGTACCACATCTAACCCTTCAACCACAGGTGTACCAGGTACCACGTCTAACCCTTCAACTACAGGTGTACCAGGTACCACATCTAACCCTTCAACCACAGCTGCTCCAGGTACCACATCTAACCCTTCAACCACAGGTGTACCAGGTACCACGTCTAACCCTTCAACTACAGGTGTACCAGGTACCACATCTAACCCTTCAACCACAGCTGCTCCAGGTACCACATCTAACCCTTCAACCACAGGTGTACCAGGTACCACGTCTAACCCTTCAACTACAGGTGTACCAGGTACCACATCTAACCCTTCAACCACAGCTGCTCCAGGTACCACATCTAACCCTTCAACCACAGGTGTACCAGGTACCACGTCTAACCCTTCAACTACAGGTGTACCAGGTACCACATCTAACCCTTCAACCACAGCTGCTCCAGGTACCACATCTAACCCTTCAACCACAGGTGTACCAGGTACCACGTCTAACCCTTCAACTACAGGTGTACCAGGTACCACATCTAACCCTTCAACCACAGCTGCTCCAGGTACCACATCTAACCCTTCAACCACAGGTGTACCAGGTACCACGTCTAACCCTTCAACTACAGGTGTACCAGGTACCACATCTAACCCTTCAACCACAGCTGCTCCAGGTACCACATCTAACCCTTCAACCACAGGTGTACCAGGTACCACGTCTAACCCTTCAACTACAGGTGTACCAGGTACCACATCTAACCCTTCAACCACAGCTGCTCCAGGTACCACATCTAACCCTTCAACCACAGGTGTACCAGGTACCACGTCTAACCCTTCAACTACAGGTGTACCAGGTACCACATCTAACCCTTCAACCACAGCTGCTCCAGGTACCACATCTAACCCTTCAACCACAGGTGTACCAGGTACCACGTCTAACCCTTCAACTACAGGTGTACCAGGTACCACATCTAACCCTTCAACCACAGCTGCTCCAGGTACCACATCTAACCCTTCAACCACAGGTGTACCAGGTACCACGTCTAACCCTTCAACTACAGGTGTACCAGGTACCACATCTAACCCTTCAACCACAGCTGCTCCAGGTACCACATCTAACCCTTCAACCACAGGTGTACCAGGTACCACGTCTAACCCTTCAACTACAGGTGTACCAGGTACCACATCTAACCCTTCAACCACAGCTGCTCCAGGTACCACATCTAACCCTTCAACCACAGGTGTACCAGGTACCACGTCTAACCCTTCAACTACAGGTGTACCAGGTACCACATCTAACCCTTCAACCACAGCTGCTCCAGGTACCACATCTAACCCTTCAACCACAGGTGTACCAGGTACCACGTCTAACCCTTCAACTACAGGTGTACCAGGTACCACATCTAACCCTTCAACCACAGCTGCTCCAGGTACCACATCTAACCCTTCAACCACAGGTGTACCAGGTACCACGTCTAACCCTTCAACTACAGGTGTACCAGGTACCACATCTAACCCTTCAACCACAGCTGCTCCAGGTACCACATCTAACCCTTCAACCACAGGTGTACCAGGTACCACGTCTAACCCTTCAACTACAGGTGTACCAGGTACCACATCTAACCCTTCAACCACAGCTGCTCCAGGTACCACATCTAACCCTTCAACCACAGGTGTACCAGGTACCACGTCTAACCCTTCAACTACAGGTGTACCAGGTACCACATCTAACCCTTCAACCACAGCTGCTCCAGGTACCACATCTAACCCTTCAACCACAGGTGTACCAGGTACCACGTCTAACCCTTCAACTACAGGTGTACCAGGTACCACATCTAACCCTTCAACCACAGCTGCTCCAGGTACCACATCTAACCCTTCAACCACAGGTGTACCAGGTACCACGTCTAACCCTTCAACTACAGGTGTACCAGGTACCACATCTAACCCTTCAACCACAGCTGCTCCAGGTACCACATCTAACCCTTCAACCACAGGTGTACCAGGTACCACGTCTAACCCTTCAACTACAGGTGTACCAGGTACCACATCTAACCCTTCAACCACAGCTGCTCCAGGTACCACATCTAACCCTTCAACCACAGGTGTACCAGGTACCACGTCTAACCCTTCAACTACAGGTGTACCAGGTACCACATCTAACCCTTCAACCACAGCTGCTCCAGGTACCACATCTAACCCTTCAACCACAGGTGTACCAGGTACCACGTCTAACCCTTCAACTACAGGTGTACCAGGTACCACATCTAACCCTTCAACCACAGCTGCTCCAGGTACCACATCTAACCCTTCAACCACAGGTGTACCAGGTACCACGTCTAACCCTTCAACTACAGGTGTACCAGGTACCACATCTAACCCTTCAACCACAGCTGCTCCAGGTACCACATCTAACCCTTCAACCACAGGTGTACCAGGTACCACGTCTAACCCTTCAACTACAGGTGTACCAGGTACCACATCTAACCCTTCAACCACAGCTGCTCCAGGTACCACATCTAACCCTTCAACCACAGGTGTACCAGGTACCACGTCTAACCCTTCAACTACAGGTGTACCAGGTACCACATCTAACCCTTCAACCACAGCTGCTCCAGGTACCACATCTAACCCTTCAACCACAGGTGTACCAGGTACCACGTCTAACCCTTCAACTACAGGTGTACCAGGTACCACATCTAACCCTTCAACCACAGCTGCTCCAGGTACCACATCTAACCCTTCAACCACAGGTGTACCAGGTACCACGTCTAACCCTTCAACTACAGGTGTACCAGGTACCACATCTAACCCTTCAACCACAGCTGCTCCAGGTACCACATCTAACCCTTCAACCACAGGTGTACCAGGTACCACGTCTAACCCTTCAACTACAGGTGTACCAGGTACCACATCTAACCCTTCAACCACAGCTGCTCCAGGTACCACATCTAACCCTTCAACCACAGGTGTACCAGGTACCACGTCTAACCCTTCAACTACAGGTGTACCAGGTACCACATCTAACCCTTCAACCACAGCTGCTCCAGGTACCACATCTAACCCTTCAACCACAGGTGTACCAGGTACCACGTCTAACCCTTCAACTACAGGTGTACCAGGTACCACATCTAACCCTTCAACCACAGCTGCTCCAGGTACCACATCTAACCCTTCAACCACAGGTGTACCAGGTACCACGTCTAACCCTTCAACTACAGGTGTACCAGGTACCACATCTAACCCTTCAACCACAGCTGCTCCAGGTACCACATCTAACCCTTCAACCACAGGTGTACCAGGTACCACGTCTAACCCTTCAACTACAGGCGTACCAGGTACCACATCTAACCCTTCAACCACAGGTGTACCAGGTACCACGTCTAACCCTTCAACTACAGCTGCACCAGGTACCACATCCAACCCTTCAACTACAGGTGCACCAGGTACCACATCTAACCCTTCAACTACAGCTGCACCAGGTACCACATCTAACCCTTCAACTACTGGTGCACCCGTTACCACATCCAACGCTTCAACCACAGCGGTACCAGGTACCACATCTAACCCTTCAACCACAGCTGCACCAGGTACCACATCTAATCCTTCAACCACAGGTGCACCAGGTACCACATCGAACCCTTCAACCACCAATGCATCAGCTACAACTACAGAACCACCGACCGCCCCTCCAACTCTAACACCTTCAGGTACGCCAAGTGTTATTGAAAAGTGTTGTTCTGGAAATATATATAGGCCTTTCCTAATTACTATCCTAGTAAAACTGGCATTTTATGCTCCTAGAAATTCCGTTTTGGGACAGAAAAATGCTCAAATTATGCTCGATTCTCAAAATAATGTTACTTTGGTTCCAGAAAATGCTTTGTTTTATTTCAAGCAAAACGTAGAAACTCAGGCATCATGTGTGTATCAGCAACTGAATAATGTGAAAAGTGTTTAATTGTTTGCTTATAAAACTTCTGATACAGCCAAAACTTGTCCAATGATAAACAGTTAATTAATGTTCGAAGTCCTTAGCGCTTGTTGTACTGTGACATGACGCTGGCCTGGAGGTAGTCAACAAGAGCACAATTCTGTTGCTCGTTGAAAGACGCCTTCAGTATTGAAAATGCTCTTTCTGCCGTAGCAGACGATCATGGTTGGACAAGGAGAACTTGCTTCACTGCAGAAGTCCAACGAGGAAGTTGCTCCTCGTGCCCACATTACCGTTCGACTTTCTTCTCTTCAATCGAAACAACAACATCTTCAGCAGCGGCCAAATAGGCAGGAAGCTCGGCTTTGAAACCGTCGATGATAACATCACTGTCCAGGAAAGGAAATGCTCTCAGAGACTCTACTAATGCATTTGTGGCCTAAGTCACTGGATGCATAACAATACTTTTGAATTCTAAAATTTAGCATTTTAAATCTTTTGAATGCTGAAATCTAGGTCAAAGTTATGCAAAATGCTAAATAATGCTAGCAATTCTTTTTACAGAAAAAAGTGTGAAAAAAAATGCTTGTTTAATCAAATAATGCCAAAAACAAAAAAAAAATGCTCGCATAATCGGGAAGGGCTTAAATATGTAACTCGTACAATCATCCAGCATGGCTACTATAATTATTTCATTTTGAATTCGGTAGAGAGTGCCTGCTTGAAAGCACACAATGACAGGCGCATTTTACATGGAGCGAGTCCGCTGATCTGGGATGATACACTGGTGCAGCATGCTCAGGTCTGGGCGGATCACTTGGCTGCAACAGGTACATTTCAACATGACCCAAACCTGAATGGAGAAGGAGAAAACCTTGCTTTTTTTAGTGGTGTTGCTAGCGACTGTACGGACGCCTTAGTATTATGGTAAGCGTGATTCTAGTATTCTTATTCATTCCAAACATGCAGCCTAAGTTCCCTGTGACAATTCAAAAGTAATTAATGTCAAATGGACTTGCTTGATTCGTTACTAGTAAATCCACTGGCAATTTGCCTGCAATAATAGTATAATAGGATTGAAAGCTCTTGGGTTCCTCTCTCAAAGGTACGACAACGAAGAGCCAAAGTATGATTATAACAACCCTGGATTTTCTTCTGAAACTGGCCATTTTACACAGGTATACTGATCTAAGATTAGTGCCAGATGTCACTTAAATATATTTCTCTTTTTTTTTTTCTCATGCTACGAGACGTATTCGATGCAATATGTTATCAGTAAAGCATAAACACGGTTTGAGCGTCGAATAAAATAAAATAAATACACTTATTAACAAGAGGAATATTTTAATATCTGTCTAGGTTGTCTGGAAAGGGACCAAAGCAGTTGGCGTGGCTCAAGCTTCTTCAATTTCGGGAGCGATCTACATTGTGGCTCGTTACAGTCCACAAGGAAACATTGCGGGATTGTTCGGCCAAAATGTGGGAAACAAGCAGTCGAGATGGTGAAGGTATTCAGGAACAATCGGCCGGTTGACCGACTGACTTACAGACAGACCGATCGACTGACTGACTGACTGACGGACGAACGGACGGACGGACTGACGGACGGACTGACGGACGGACGGACTGACGGACTGACGGACTGATCATGACTGACTGATTGACTGACGGACGGACTGACTGACTGAATGAATGAATGACTGACTGACTGGCTGACTGACTGGCTGGCTGGCCCATCCACTGTCTGACGGATTGACTGGTTGGTTGGTTGGTTTAGTCATTGATTGATTGATTAATTTCTTTAGTGACTAAATGTATATGTATTTCGTATAACCTAGAAGAAGGTAACTCAGAATTTTCATCTTCCCCTTCAGACCTCCACCAATCGAGCAATTAAGCGAAACCGATTCAGCGGAATTAGCCGATGAGCAAAGTGCAGTGACATTGGAATGAATGGATGTTAAGGGATTAGAAAAAGTAGTTTAAATAAGGGAAACAAAGCAGTTCAATAGTTATCTGTTTCCATTTTTGTTTACATATTGACTTGTACAAGGGATTATAAAAATAAAGATAGAGCATTTAAAGCGCTGGATGGGCCTGTCTGTATTACACTTTTATGTTGTTTCTTCGTGCATTCATTTAGTTGCGTTGTCCTTGACGTTTTTGTCGTCAGATGCCTTTTTCGCTACTCTCAACGCAAGTCAAATAGAGGCTGTGCGGCTTCTTAGATCTGAATCAGTCAAAACGATCAAAACTAGAAAGATCTCTTACGTGTTTCCATTGGATAACAGTCGGAGTCCACAAAAGATACAGTGATGGCGCTATTCACAGCGGCCGTAAAAATGGCGATAGGACAGACGCTTGTGAGAATCCACAGCACGGAAAACACTGGACCGTATATTGTGCGAGCTAGGAACCTTGTCTCCATACCTACAAGAGTAAACTCGATCCTTCATAACCACACAGCTGATCAATTCTGTCAACTGTCAAAATATTTCGCAAAGTAGCCATTGAAACAAATCTATCTCTCAAAAATTCTTGAAGGACGCAAGGAACCCCCTGACGAGATCGAAATGGAAATCTTGTCCAATATAAACAACAGAGCAGGGCGAGAAGTTCTTCGTCACCCGGGGTCTTCGTCCTAACTTTTTTACAAGTATATGTTATAAGTATATACGTTTACTGTATACAGCTCAAGGCACATTATCACATTTTTATGGAAAATTTGCATAACCGTAAGTAACACGCTCTGGCTACACAGAGGAGCACCGATGTTCATCTTGTTTTGTCACTATTATAACAGTGAAAATCCAGTCACGATCATCGAAGTTGAAATCTTATACTCAATAGCCCTTTTTATGGTTAGTTTTTCTCATTTGCATTACAATGCAATCCAACGTGGATGCGAGGCATGCAATTTCGGGCTGAAACAACAAAATGGCCCGAAATTGTCTCACATACATACTATATTATATTGTAATGTAAATCGGAAATTAAACATTTAAAAAAAACGACAGACCGTTTAAATTTGGAAGACATGTTTTGGATACTCAGTATTCATCTTCAGTTAAAGGATGTTAAATGTTTGATTTCAATCTTACTGCTATGAAAATTTGGCAAATCAGAAATTAAAAGTTAACCGTGAAAATGGTCATTATAGACAACAGAGGAGGGCGAGGAGTTCTTCGTCCTGAATTTTGTATTAGCATATGTTTATGAATACATGTTACTAATGACTGAATAAAGTTCGCCGCACATCTTTCTTTAATAGCACTATTATCGAAACTTTGCAATAGTACAAATTCCGCGCTCTGGCTTCACAGATAAACATAGCTGTTCTTTTTTTTTGTCACAATCATGTCGCACAAATGCATTAAGATAAGTAGCTGCGTCTGCTTCCTCATTTTTTCCGGTGTTTTATTCGTGTCGCCTATGCTAGGGATAGTCAGAAGTCCTTTTGGCTATCAAGGGGAAACTAAAACTATAACTATAATTTTTTTGAACCGCGGAGTCCAGTGCTGTTTAAGCCAGTGAGGTATCTGACTACACACTGAAATTGGAATCACCTTCACTGGAATCATTTATTCGTGCATCAACTGCGGTGAAAGGCCAAGAACTCCGTTTAAGTGGTCTGGCTGTACCCTCAAAACTCGTCAGTAATGCGTCTCAACCGCTAGCTGATGTGAGCAAGGCAAAAATTCAAGTCAACAAAATCGCGCTCATCAGCCTTGCGAACGAAACCGTGTTAACATGCACCGAACGCAGGATATTCTTTGGTGATATTTTTTGATGACTTTTCCCCACTCAGACCGTTTTGAAAATGGAACGCACCTGCTTCAGGACGAACTACTGATTCCAGTTTTATATGTAAAACCTTAAGCACATGGCCGCTGTTATTTTACTAACTATTCATTTGAAAGAATGACTGATTCTCATCTTTCAGCTGCAGACCAAACTAAAATTGACATTAGGGTACCGATTATGCAAACGGACCTCTGCAAGATGCAGCAATACTTACGGAGACTTTACTATTGGTTTCGTTTGGGTCCACTCATCGCTCTCGAATGGCTCAGACGTATAACCACGTGGGCCGTCACAACCAACTTTTCAAAACCGATACGAAGTGATTGGTTTGCATCAAACATGTATTTGCTCATTTTGGGTGTTGGCGGTGCCATACTGTTCCTCAGGTGATTATTTAATAGTCTTGTTTAGTTATTTTATAAGCTACAACACTGTCTGCACAGTCTGTAACGTGCTTCTCGTTATCTTTCTAAACAAACACAAATTTGTCACAAGGTATGTCTTCTACATCAGTGTATGTATGATCTGTGCTTATATTGAAAGTGACATAGTAGCCGTGTTTTACTTTATGATGAATTCTAAAGGCTCACTCACCAACCTAAATCTTACTGCCCTGCGCACAGTAGTCATTGGTCTTACTTTGACTCTCAGTTTCAGCACCTCTATGCACATCATGCTATAAATTCCATGCACAGGCCGATCGCATGTTTGTCGTAAAACTAACTGAACTCCACTAGCGCCTTTAAATGATGATATATTATATAATAAGTCAAATTATTCTCGCATTTTGATTGGTGCTTACTTATGATCACTTGGAGGACAGACGCACGGGTGACGCCATTAACAATAAAATAATAAACAAGTAGATTCCATGTGGCCGTGTGTATGTTCAGTACTTGATCACAGTAGACATCAAAATGTGGTGAGAACATCAGTGACATACTCGCCTAGCACTAGCCTGCAGTACAGGCGTTTTCCGAGTGCACAGTGCTCTCGTGAGTTGTCGGTAGTAGCTCGCGATCAAGTAGATTTGCTGGCATGTGGGCTTACGAAAAGTGGGCGGGGAGGGGATGGGGAAGGAAGGAGAGAAAGTTCTGCACTGCACATTCACAAGATTCTTTATTATTTTTCAGCTATACGTAATTTTACTATCTTTTCTACCAGCAACCCATAACCACGTTAACACAGATTCAGAAAAGCTGAATTCATACCTCTTCCTCTCCTATGTTAAGTTAACTTTTTTACCCTAATTATTATTGTCAATTAAACAAGGGCATCTAATTAGCTTGCTATACTTTGCCCTTTTCCATTTCTCCTCTTACTTGTTTACTTGATATTTATCTTTGCAATTTTAGAATGGAATAAATAAATAAAATGAAATGAAAATGAAATGAAATAAAAGCGATAAACAGGAGCCCATCGAGGAAAGCAAAATAAAAAGTAGTAGCTAATCATGAACTGGTTAAAACAAGCCTGGGGAAGCAAAGAAAGACAATTTTCGTTTATAGTTGGTGAATCATTCCATACAGTTGTGCTCCTCCGCAACAGGATGATCTTTTTTTCAAGATATTCCCTCCGGTTTGGTCTGGTATTATTTAAAATTTTCGAAAATTGTTCTGAACTGATATTATCCCAATGCGTTAAGACAAGGCAAATTAGCCTGTGCCCTACATGTGTAAGGAAGCTGTAATTACTATCGTTTAGATCTCCAGGCGCAAAACAAATAATCTTTGGCCGATCAATTTCTAGTCCTTCTGAACAATAACACACTGATATTGTCACTTTCCCCGTCAAAATAATGTAAAAGTTTGGTGAAATTGACTAAAATTAAATCAGCGAGAAAGAAGAAAGACAAAGTGAAACCTGTGAAACTGGAGCAAGGTTCAAACTCTTCTGAAAGGTACCGACTGAGCCGATCATTTTGAAGGGACATGCCTCCAGCCCCAAAATCAAACACTCATGCAGGGTTCAAGGGACATTGCATGCCTGCAGCACTAGTTCCTCCCGGATACATCTCACATGAAGTTCAACGAGCTGCTCTTTATACGGTATGTAAAATGCAAAATCTACTTTGCAGTAAAACCAACATTAACTGTAGCCCTTTTGACGTTAGGAGAGAGATCAAGGAGGAACTCAAGGAACGCGTTTAGTCTCCATTTGTCGACATCCAAATTATTTTCGTTTTCTTTTCAACAGCTGCGAAGTTCTTCTCCATGATTCGTTGATTAAATTGTTTCGTTGGCAAGTTTCTTGATTGTAAACGAATGAATTGTCAGGATTTTTTAAAGAATAGGTTGGCACGCTTTGTCTTCAACTTGTCAATATTCGACATTTTTTCTTATTGTAAGCATAAAACTAGACAGCTAAGAGCTGTCCGCAGTCACTTGTTGATCAAATAATTTCGTTGGCCTTAAAAACCTGACAAACTGCTTATTACGTGGAAGAACTTCTTGATACCATTCCTTGAAGATCGTTTGAGAGTGACGCCATGGAAAACAGTGCTTTGCCGTCTAATTCATCGTCAGCAGACTGTAGATTCTATTTTTACACGCAGCTTTCTACTGGCATCTGCTTGGCGGTTCTATCGCCCATAACAATTACTAGTAATGCGTTGTTACTGTTCACCATCTTCAAAGATCCTCTCAAATGCTTCCGTGCACCGGCTACGTATTTCATTGTTGCTTTAGCCTTGGTCGATTTAACAACAGGCCTGATTGTTGCGCCTTTTTTAACAGTGCCTCGAGTGGTAAGGTATGTAACCTGGTCCTTCACTCCAGGCGAGCCGTACAACAGACTAGAACAAATTGGAGTTAGCTTGTCTTTCGTGGGTCTTAACTCTTCCTTTCTGTTTGTTCTTGGTCTCATTTTGGCTCAGTTTATCGCCATAGCATACCCGCACCATTATCGCTCTGTTGTGACGACACGTAGAGTCCTCGCTTGTGTTGGCTTCTCGCTGATGTACTTTACTGGATTCAATGTCTTTAACTTCGTTGGAGTTTCCCAAATAATTATTAAGCGGGTAGATCTCCACCTTCACTCGACACTGATAACGGTCTTCCTTGTCGTCGGTTTCGCCATGCTTTTGAGGGCGTATCGCCATTATCATAATGTCATTGCATCTCGCCGACTTGGAGTTGGGAGCAGCATCAGTGGACGCGTCGGCGAGTCTCGAGTGAACGAGACGAACAAGAGAAAGTTTACTATAGTAACTCTGTTTTTATCAGGAATTCTCATATTGTGCTCTCTTCCAAATTTCGTCACAGTTCATGTCTGGATTTACACAAAGCGAGATGATCAGCAAGATTGCTCAGCCTTGTTTTCTGCTGTCTTTCTCACGGAGCTGATGATGTACGTGAAGGTGGCATTGGATGCCTACATCTACGCCTGGAGACTACCGAGATACCGGAGATCGTTAAAACTAGTGATCACTTGCCACTCAAATCAAGTTACATCTGAAGCCACTGAACTAAAGACGAGAGAAAATATTACAGGGCAACGGAGTCTTGAAATCGTCGAATGATGATAATCAGTTGTCCTTGTCTAACTTGGTGGCGGGTAACGCGGGTACTTTGTTGGATCAATAAAACCTCTTTTGCAACATTCGTACCAAAAGCATAACTAATCATTGGGGAAAAGGCTGTGGTCCTTTTTTGATAATTCTGTAATATAAAATGGGGTCTATTGAATTCTTTTTGAGTCATATCAAAGGGCGTTTTTACCATTATTTATTATATGGCTTTGGTTTGTGGCCGATATAACGCGCGCTCTGATTGGCTAAGAGCGAGATCTGAGCAGTCATTATGCAGCCGTAATGCCCACGGGCCGATTACGGATTATGCA